CTGGCCCCGGCACAGCGGAATAAATGGGAAACGTCTCAGGGGATTGATTTCTGTGTAGTCTGTGGTTCTGGATAGATCTGTGGTGCTGCAAGACTGTGCTTGTCGTGTGTGAGAAACTGTGTTCTATATCCACTCAGCACAGCACTCGGGAGCGATGCTATACCTCCAGTTCGTTCTTTGTCTAAAACATCTTCTGCTCTAAGTAGACAGGAAAACAAACAGTTGTGAGAAGCTAGTAGAGCTTAATAATGAACAGCTCGCTGCAGGCTGCAAAACATGCTCAGTTTCCCATGTTCATTCACACGTAACGGGTAACTGTACGCACCATATATTGCAGTGTTCTGAACGAGGATGTTTTGCTGGGGAAAGTCTGCTGCAAAAGATTTCCCATCCACATTAGTCACCCTTACTTTATCAGTGGGCAAATTGGAGAATGGATTTTTGCATAGTGTGTGTAGAAAAAACAAAGCTCCAAGGGATTTGTAAATTTCAGTATATTTACCCTACGTAAATGAACACCCAGGGACATAAGTGCTGGAGTGACATACCTTAGGGTGATTCCAGAATCACAACTTATGTGCTTTTTAGTCTTGTCAGAACAAGGCAGGCTAAAGAAATCTCTAAAAGAGAGGTTTTAAATATTGACTACAAGGAAAGGTCTGCTCTGCTCTTTTTGTATGCCTGGTCTTCTCTGTGACTATTGTTTCAAGATGTTATTTTCATGTTTATTATTTGAAGAGTAGTTCAGGTTAACTCAGCAACATCCCTCACTAGTCACTAAAATTGTCATCATAATTTGTTTTAGACCATGCAGTTAAGTGCAGCAAAATGAGAAAATGTGGATAGTTTGTGACTAAGCATGCTTTATTTTAAAGTATTCTTACACTTCATAAAGCTTTTTAGGTCTAATTAGCTTTTACTATGAAATAAGGAGAGCTTTCTGCAGTATGTGGTAGAATTTTGGTTGAACCTTGGGAAATCTGTTTGTATTTTGAGTTAGGTAGTATATATGGAATCTAAAGCACCTGAATGTGCACTGGTTTCTTCACTCTGTGGGGACCCTTGTGTAAAAGTCCAAAAAGTGTTTGCAGCATGCACTGTTACCCAGCTATGAATTTATAGTCTTGTGTCTAGTGTTTAGATTTTTGTCTTTGTGAGGTTGTTCTAATGACAATTTAAAATTATTTCCTGCCTCTGTGATTGCATTGCAATGGCTGTGGAGGGAATAAGCAATAAGCAACTGCAGGAGGTTGTAATGTGTGTTACAACACACATTCACTATTGTAAATTGTTGTATTTTGGAAACAAATGGCCTTGTAGAGACGCTACAGATCGGCAGACAGCCTTGTTTGGCACTTGTCACACTGGTAGCACAGCTTGCTTTAAGCACAGACAGATGTTACTGCACGGATGTACTACATCAGTCTGTTTGCTCACAGTGAAGGGGGGGAATGGGGCTGAGCTGGGGGTTGCTTTACTTTCTATGGGGGAATCTCCTACAGGTGGTTGATGGTGACTGATGGTTTTGGTTTAACCCCAGCTGGCAGCTAAATGCTGCACAGCTGTTCACTCACTCCAGCAGCAGGATGGGGGAGACAATCAGAAGGGTAAAAGTGAGGAAACTTGTGGGTTGAGGTAAAGGCAGTTCAGTGGGTAAAGGGAAAGCTGTGCACACAAACAAGGCCAAACAAGGCATCCATCCAGCAGCTCCCACGGGCAGGCCGGTGCTCAGCCACATCCAGGACAGCCAGGGCTGCAGCACATGTAAAGGGGACTTGGGAAACGAGCACTGTCACTGCAAACACCTCCCCTTCCCCCTTCTTCCCCAGGTTTGTATGCTGAGCATCACATCCTGTGGTGTGGGATGTCCCTGTGGTCAGCTGGGTCCTGGCTGTGCCCCCTCCCAGCTCCTCGTGCACCCCATTCTCCTCCCTGCTGGGGCTGTGTGAGCTGCAGGAAGGGCTTTGACTGTGTGTGAGCACTGCTCAGCCATGACAAAATCATCCTGGAATTACCAACGCTGTGTCCAGCACAAATCCAAAACACAGCACCATAGCAGCTGCTATGAAGAAATTTAACTCTCTCCAAGCCAAGCCCAGCACATTAATTTAGAGAAATGTTGAGCCAGAGAATAAGAAGGTTTGAGTGCTGTAAAGGCCCCAAGCAACTCACTTGATGAGCCATTGGAAACGTCTTACAGTTGTTCATGTACTCTACGTTAGACCCACAGGAGAAATACAGACAAGGTATTCTCAAGAGATCAAAACAGCAAAAAGAACTTTATTGGCAACTTTAGAAAATCAAATAAACTTTGAAAAGGGTTTAATGCAGCATTCAATCAACATAAAACATTTCTCGAAGCATTAACTTGGCCCATTCAACTTAGGAAACTGTAAACCAATTCAGTTCTAAGTTCTTAAAAATTCCAAGAAGAAGGAATTAGAAGAAGAAAGGAAGGCAGAAAAGATTCAGAAAAGGACACATATCAGTACCAACTCCTGGACTCCTGTGGTACTGAGATAAAAATTCCAATAGGAAGTAGGGTCAAGACATCTGATTGCTTTGTGTTTGGCCTTAAATACCCCTTGGCCTTCCTGGGCCCTTCTCCCAGGTGGGCCTTGTGGTCATTTGGCCCCTTAGGAGCTGGGTTAGGAGCCCCAGAGTGGGGTGTGGGGCATTGCTTCCCCTGGGCTGGGTACAGCAGGCTCCAGGGCAAGGCCTGAGCTGCCCTGCCCCTCACTCCTGCACTCCAGAGGCTCTCTGGACATCAGTCTCTTCAT